GTCCAAGGCCAACTTGGTTCGAGGTGAGAGTGGCCTTGAGGAATGGAAAATTCTATCTGGAAGAATTGCTCAGGTGAATTATATCTTGTGCCTCAAGAGCCAAAGCAGTTCTCACTTCAACTATTTCTTATGCAGATCTTCCTGGGGTTCACTTTACACACTGTTACGTGGCAAACCCGACCTGTTTTCAGTGGCCGACCCATCATTAGGATATCCGTTATTACAGTGTCAAGTTCAAGAAGTGTTGACCCTCACACAAAATACCCCCAGATTTTCAACTTTTAAAAACTAACCTTTATTGCGTTTCCTGATTGTAAAATGGTAGTCTTAATTTTTAAAGTGATTCACTTTTTAATAGTTTTTATTACCTCCTTCCAGACTACTCACCCGTCTGTCACTTTCCGCTCCCTTTAATATGCTTCCAGAGGCTCCCCTCTCATTTGTTACCTTTGATCTGGACTTAGGCTGGGAAACCACATGATGAAGCTTGTTACAATTGTGTACCCTCAGGATAGACGAGGGCTCAGCTGATCAATATCACTATTAGGACAGAACTTTCTAGAGGATTATGGAAGAAGCTTAGGCTGTGGAAGCAGAGAGACCCAAGGATAAACTGCCTCTCTGGCTTTTCGTGGTATTGGGAGCTTCAACAAGTAACTTTATCATCCTCAGCTCAAAATAATAACACCTGACTTGCATGGCTGTTGTGAGGATTAAAAGAAATAAGATGCGACACACCCATCACAGGATCTGCCTCACGATGGCGCCTGGATGACCACTAGCTCCCCCTCCTCACGGTGCTGTGTAGGGAGCATGCCTCGAGGATAGCGCTTCAGAACTTGAACTTGCAGCAGAGTCTCTTGGAGGGCTTATAAAAATACAGATTGCTGGGCCCCATCCCCAGCGTTTCTGGTTCAGTAGTAATAGGTTGGGGCCCAACAATTTGCATTGTGAAGACATTTGCAGGTATGTTGCTGCTGCTGGTCTGGGGCCCACACATTGAAAACCAAGAATGAGTCTAGGAGATAGATGTTGGTCCAAACCCTGTTTGGTCACTTAGTCGTGCTAATCTGGGCTTCATTGAGCTCATCTGAGCCATGATTTCCTAGCACTTAATAGGTCTCCATAAACCTTATTTTTTCCCCTCTTTGAGGCAGGGTCCCTTCCTGTTTAGCTCAAGGATTTTAGTGTCCCAAGGAACTACAGCAATTAGATTATCAAGCCCCTAAAATTATGTACATTTCATCTTAGATACTTTACAAAGAAGACAGCTGTCATTTGATCTGGAGGGCAACAGTAGACTGTAACAGGTAGTAAGTACTGGTCCTGTAGAGGTACCTTAGGAGATCAGTTTCACTGACTTTCCACCTGTTAACCTCTTAGGGAAATAATGGATTGATTAAAAAGTATTTCCTCCTGCTGACTAGGAAGCGTTTTACAGGTGAGTACATACAAGTCAATGAGTATTTTCTCCATTGGGTGTATGTGGGCTTTGGGCTGTGGGTTGCAGGTAGCTACCTACACTCACATCTAAAAGTATATGTACTCATAAGTCACAAAGCAGATACAGCTCTAGTTGGATATATTGTGTTCAAATGACACATTCTCCAGGAAAGAAAAAAAAAGTCATGTTTTTCTGCTGTGAAATTGGTTTGCTGGGGCTCTGCCAAACGGAAGCCTTATCGTAGTAAATACACCAACTTTAATTATTCTGTCCTATTTGCTTGAAGAAATACTCTTATGTGACATACATATGTTCATACATTTCCCTGTTGCAGCAACATGAACTAAATAAGTCACTTTCACACATGAATGCAACTCCAAGAGTTACTGCTAACTTGTGTTTTCTGTACCATTCACACATTTTCCATTCTGTGGGAGAAAGTGGTGTGTTTGGGTGATGGGGGAGAATTATGGGGCAAAAAATGAGGATTTCTTTAGTGTTCTTCCAAGTAAAGAGGGCGGAGGGAGCACAGTCTACCCATCTGCTATCGCTGATATATTGAAACATCTCTACCTCTAGAAATTCACCAAAGTACAGCTGGTTCTCATCTTCTGAGAACCTGGCACCTCTTGGGGAGCCTACATAACACCCCCTTCAAGTCACCGTGGCCTACACATGAGGGTCCTTTCCGCCATCTGGTGGTCATGAAGGGAAGTGTCCGCTGAGACAGGGAAACAGCCAGCGTTTCTCTCACACATTATTGGTGGCTGTGAAATTGTTACAAGCTCAGGGAAAGCGAAGGCCATCATCTCTGCCAAATTCTAAAAGAAGGAACATTGCAGACATCTTTTAAAATTTAAAACGCACATACTCTTGCTCTAGTGATTCCGCGTTTATGAATTTAGGGCTATGCGTATACATGTGCACAAAGCAATGCGTGTGCAAGAATATTCCTGGTAGGCGGCTCGTCATAGTGGATAACCGGTGACAAGATCTATCTCTGTCACTAGGGTGCTGGTTAAATAAAGTATGATATACCCATACAATGGGCACACTGTGCAGCTGTTTGAAAAACACGACAAGTCCGTATCTACAGATACGAGATGATCGCCAAGACATATTTATAGTAAAATAAACAGTAAAATAATCTAGAACAGTGGCCATAACATGCTGATATTGGTGTGAGTAGACCAACACAGAATAAAAAGCATGGAACAGCCCTAGAAAGATACCCAAAGGAGCGGCACAGTGTTTGACTTTGGAGAAAAGAACCACGGTGGTCAGAGATGAGAAGGTGACTTACCTTTTACGGTGAACATTTTGTCCTGTAGGAATAATTTTTGACATGCACGTGTAACTTGTAATAACTGCATGACCATCTTTTAACATTTCCAGGCTCGACAGGGGGCTGGAGATGGAGCCCACCCAGGGGCTGACTCTGCAGGAGCTGGCTGGGGTTTCCGGGGATCAATAGATGTTACTTGGGTGACACGGTGACTCTACTGAATCGTGGGGAAAGCATCTCTGTGTTATCTACACAGAGATGAGCTCCCGGAGCAGGTTTGCTCTGTGACTGTGCTGCCCCTGGGGACTAGGGCCGCCAGGTAAGCAGCTCCAGGAAGGTTCATGTGACATGCGTGAATTATATAGCTACTTTTGTGTGTGTAGATTTTCATACAGGAAATCCTCCTTTTCCCCCAACTGTGGAAATAGATTTTCTGTCTTATCCACTGATAAGATATTTTAAATCAGCCAAAACAAAATAAAGCAAAAATCTGACATATTCAAAAAAGCAAGAAGGTAAAAGACCCATACTCTTCCACCTACAGATAACTACCACTAACCTTTGCAGTGGGGTATGGGATGTGGCTCTTTCTTTTTGCCTTTTGTTCTTCTGGGTTTTCTAGTAAGAGGCACCAGGTCACCGAATCTCGTTGAAATCTATTAGGTTGTATGGTTTTGCGTAGAATTTCCAGTACTTTGGTGTAAGACATCTGGGTCACTGACGTTAACGTTAAGAAGTGTGTTAGTGACAGCTAGCTGTCATCCAGCCCTCGCTATAAGCCAGGCTCTTGGTAAGTACTCCGTATGAATTCCAATTTAATCCTGACAATGGCATTTGAAGTAGGTTTCACTTCCATCTCCACTTCAGAGATGAAAACTTGACCAGAGAGTGTGACTTGCCCAAGATACCTCAGCTAACAAGAGGCAGAGGCAGGACTCAAACTCAAGTGTGTCGGGATTTTTAAAAAGGGGACATCTACAATACTTTCAACAATAAAGCTAAATTAAAACAAAACAAAAAGAACTCCCCCCCCCATCCTTTATTAACCAGGACACCACACTCTTTTCCCACTGGGAGCTTGTTGGTGGCTAGCGGTTGGAATTCCAACCCACAAAGAGAGAACATTGAAAGCAGTTTTTGAAAATTCTAAACTATTGCTAAATGTTTAATGTTATGGTCAAAGTCTCTGCTTGTGAAGTAAATAAGAAAGTTTTTGAACATGTGATGCAATATGATTTCAGGAATATACAACCTTGGACTCTGAGTCTAGGTCTCTGTAGTTTAACTGACAAAGTAAAGCAGGAGAGGGTAGGAAGCCATTAAGAGTTTTAAGTACAAGGTCCTATGTTTCTTGTAAAACAATAATCATGCATTCTTCAACCTAAGTGTCTACGTGTCTATGTATTCCTGTTCATGGTTAATAAAATAGACCACGGGCAGCATGAAATCCAAGAGTTGGCTAACCTTTAGTGGAAAGTATAACACTCAACAATACAAAACAGCCATTAGATTTGCCAACATTTTTTGGATTTTTTTATTTTTCCTTAATGATTTTTCCATTTGCTCTGCCAAATTAAACTTCGATGGTAAGTTTAAATGTGTCTTTAAAAATGTCATTTATTGTCACTTATCAGCCAGCTCCTTGGTTACTATCATAAGTTAGTTATTGGAATGGGAGCTGAACTACAGGGAGGGGAGGATGGACCGGGCTACCGGTCAATCACCGGGTGCTAAAAGTTGCAGGAAACAATAAATCACAGGCTGGGGGGTGAACAACTCCATCACATCTGAAGGCTCATGCATCTAGAAACCAGAATATCATCTTGGCGGTGTGAAGGCCTAAACCCAGAAAACGGGAGACGGTCGTAAGTTCAGGCCGTGTGTGAAGCAGTCGCGTCAGTGTTTTGGTGACCCATCCACCGTGAAACAAAACAAAGGATGGCGAGGGAGAGGCCTGGACCCAAGGCCCGGCCACCTGGGAACCACCGGGATTCTACCGGCGGCAACAAGGAACTGTGCTGTGCCTCGAATATGAAGGCTGTGGAGACGGAAGCCATCAACCGAAGATTTCACAGCAGGCGCACAGAAGGGGAAGGTGAATGATTAAAGGACGTAGGCCTCGGAGTTCTGCTTTCAGATCCTGAAACTTTATCTTCTATTTGCAGAGATAAAAGTACACAAGAATGGTTAATAGTTAAGCGGTTTTCGCATGCGCCTCTCTCCCCTTGGGAGAGGAGAGACACTTAGGTGCGCTGGTGAGAATCATCCACAATGATTTCTCCAGCTCTCATCTTGTTCTCGAGCTTTCTCTGCCATTTGGCTTTTGCGGGACGGAGTAAGTACTCTTTGCTTTTGCAAAAATAATTGATGTACCCAAGCCCCGGGTGTATGCGGGGGTCACTAATGACCACTTGCATTCTCTGTAGGGTGGATGCTGGAGAGGCTGGATTGATGCTTATTTTTTAATGTTGCCACATTTAAAGGTCCTCCAGAAGATCCTTAGACAATTTAAGCCTCAGTGTGCTGGCCTGTACAATGGGGATAACAGTGGTACCCTTCAAAGGGTTGCTGAGGAGATTTGATGAGATATGGCCCAGGACTTGGTAGGGTTGCTTTGGGGTGGTATTAATGAGTTTTGATTTCTGTGCCAGCTGAACTTAAAGATGCACCTATAGATTTCTTAACCAACTGCCTTGTGCTCTATTGCAGCCTGTCCCAGGCCAGATGATTTACCATTTGCCACGGTTACTCCCTTAAAAACATCCTATGAGCCGGGGGAGCAGATAGTGTACGTCTGCAAGCCAGGCTATGTGTCCCGGGGAGACATGAGGAGGTTCACCTGCCCCTTCAGTGGAGTCTGGCCCGTCAACACGCTGAAATGCACACGTAAGTCAGCGCCCTCCTCAGCAACCCAGACATTTTCGGGGCATAACCTACCTTATGCTTAGGGAGCAGAAGGCCAGCAGGGTGGGGG